TTTCCTCTTTCCATTACTATCGTTTTGTTTTTCATTCCTTTTATGTAAGCAATAAAAAAAGAAAAGAAGAGAGAGACCTGATCAGAGATCTATGCAACTTACAATGTCAAGCAACAAGATGAAAAGCCTCTTGAAAGGTCTCCGATACATTTCACAAGTATTTGGTACGTCTCTTTGCATATAGAAATTCAACAAAGGATAATTCATCATTGGTAAAGTTTAATATGCTGAATTAGAAACAATTAATGAGTAGTCCATATTATCCCTTAATACGAAAACTCGAATTTATCAGTTTTGAAATACTATATGGTCAATCTAGTCTAGACTCACGTAGAAATTGTTTGCATGAATGCATGCATGGTGATAATTAATATTGATATAGAAGGGGAATGAATAAAGATTCTAATTGTGTGTGTGTGTGTGTATGTGTGCTGGGTAAAAACAAAAAAAAACTTAAAATGATGTGGTAGAAAGTGGAAAAGAAGAAGAAATACAGATCGGAAATCCAACGGACGTAAAGCATGTTGCCCATATTGGTTGGGATGGACCATCCGCTGATACTTCCACCGCACCAAGCTGGGTACGTATATTACTTATTTACTATATATGCATGCTCTTTTGATATGGCCAAATTAGAAAAGTTGATTTATGATAAACAAATGGATCTAATATATTATTAAAATTAATATTTTGAAAGGGAATCGTAATTTTTGTTTTATATGTATATTTGAAAATAAAGATGAACGAGTTCAAATCTGGAGGCGGATTCGAAACCGGACAAGGAGGCGGAGAAGATGATTCATCGGTGAGATGTAAGTCGGAATGTGGCGGTCGGTCAAAAGATTTACCAAAACTACCAAAATCAACGAGGAAATCGGCGTCGGAGAAAGGTTCTCCGACAAAGGAAAGATCAACAACGGACAAAACAAAACGCCGGTCTTCGAATAACAAAGGAACATCGTCAAGGAGATCATCAAAGGAAGTAGTGTCCCAAGTACAAGAAGATTTTTCTCCGTGGCCTAATAATGATCGCAGTACAGGAATATCATCACTACCGGATCAAGTTCCCAAGAAATCATCGAGGAGGAAGAAGAAAACGAAAGAAACCGCTATTAATGGAGGATCATCGAGATCGACAAGAAGATCGGACGTTGATAACATGTCCGATTTTATGTCTGAGACTGGTTCCGTGAGATCTATGCCTCAATTCGACAACAGAGATGATTTTTGATTGGAGAGACAACTGAGCTATATATATAGCCTACATGCAGAGACTGAGCTGCTCGGACTTATTAGCCTTCATTGAACATATGATTATATACCAATATTTTTAGATTATTTTAGTCTTCATTCTTGTATACGATAATACGAGGAGATTTTTGTTTTATATATAACCGGAGAATATAAACAGAATTATAGACTAATTCTAACGCTTTCTCGACGGCATTATCCAAAACATGAGTTGTTTTGCAGCACTCACAATGTCACTAGCTTTTTTTTTACATCACATTTATAGAGTTTTTATTATATGATATGACTCACAATCTTGAATATGAACCTGTAAATATTTCATGATCTTTGCTTCTTTAAGCGAGACAGATTAAGTAGCTAACATTCGATAATATACCGTAATTTAATTTGTTATGCTTTTGCGATACGCGCAAACTATGGCTAATAGAAGCAGTGGCGGCGGAGCCAGAATTTTTTTTATATTGGGATCAGATAAATTTTGTTTAATAAAAAATTATAGTTTATAAAATTAAAAAAAAAAACTACAAATGTATGCGACGTTCACCCATATATTGAAACTTTTTTTTTTATCACGGTTTCATTTGTTACATTTTCAAATTTTTTTTTTTAATATAACAAATAAGACAATCACTTAGAAACTGATCACCAATGTCATTTCGCAGTACTGTTTTAACAATCTTCATTCCTAAAAAACATCTCTCGACAGTTGGGGTAGCTACTGGCAAAGTCAAAGTTAACTTCAAAAGCCTATAAACCAAAGGATGAGAGAGATGCTTCTTGGTTTCTATCATCAGTCGTGCTAAGTCTCCTATATTTCTCAAACCAGCAAACCTTTCATCTTCTCGTACATTATCAATATAAATGTCAAGTTGCTGCTCAAGAGATATGCACTCCACACGACTAAAATCCTCAGGATACAATTCAGCAAATCTCAACAACTTTTCTTTATCAAACTCACTGAATGAATCACTAGGATTTAAACCTGATGTGCAAACGAGTAATTCAGAGTTTACCTCGTTAAAACGATCATTAAACTCATGAAGCTGCATATCCAAAACAGTATAAAAACAATTGACTTGGTAATGATGCAAGTTGGTCATGTTGCTGTTTTTGCGTGGCTTCCTTGGATCAATGAAATCGTCCTCCATGTTGAGAATTTCGGTGTCATGTTTCTCACAAAAATCTAAAACCTTCTTCACTAAAGAATCCCATCCATCATCCCTTAACTTTTGTAGTTGTCGTTTAGTAGATTTCACTCTTGATCTTTACTTTGTAAGGCCATAGATAAATTCTCTGTGAGTCCCAAAAGAGGCAGCATCAAGTGTAGATAGAAAACAAAATCAAAGGTATGAATGTATTTGAGAAGACCATTTGCCTGACTTTTTTTGGGTATTGTCTACATCTTCATCCTGGACATATTCAAGCACCTTAACCACAGAAGAGAACAAATCAACTAACCGCAACAACGTTCGATAATGAGAGCCCCAACGTGTATTTCCTGGTCATGGAAGTGAAGACTCTTGATTAAGTCCTTTTACAGTCTTGATTTCACAACTACTTACTCCTTTTTCAATTGTATCCCGGTGAATTTCTTTCATCTTGTCTTTTTTTTACAAGAAGCTACAACTACGTTCACTAGCACAGAAATCTTATCAAAGAAATTTTCAACTTCCAAATGTTTCTTCTCAACTGCAACAACAACCAATTGAAGTTGGTGGGCAAAACAGTGCACATAGTACGCAGAACTACTTTCTCTTGAAATCAATGTTCTCAGCCCATTCAGTTCACCCTTCATATTTCCTGCTCCATCATAGCCTTGTCCTCTCACTTTTTTCAGACTCAGACTATATTTAGCAAACAATGAATCAATTCCAGATTTCAGAGATGAAGAAGATATTTCCTTTACATGGACAAGACCAACAAATCTCTCTTTCACTATACCATGTTTATCAATAAAAAAAACTATAACCATATGCTCTTTCTTAGAACAATCAGCAGATTCATCCACCAACAGCGCAAACACATCATTATCTATCTCTTGAATTATAGAGTTAACTACTTCTTCTGAAAAGCAGTTAACAATATCTTTCTGAATTGGATGAGATACCATTTGGTTATTCCAGAAGCATTCTACAGGATAACCTTATTCACAACTTCATTCCGTTCACCCGTATACTTCAATAATTCCAAAAAATTCCCTTGGTTACTAGAATCTATTGTCTCATCATGACCACGAAACGGCAAACCTTGTCTCAATAAGTATCTAGAAGCATCAATTGAAGCATTTAATCAAATACGATACTCATTTTTCATAACATTGGTTTGTTTATGAAAAGCATGTTTAATTGATTCACCTTGTCTCATCAAATCCTCACACTTCTTCTTAGCTATGTTATGAAAGCTGTTTTTGACACCTACATGACCAGCCAATCTCTCAAATTTATTCCAACAATCAAATCCTTCAGTCATAAATCCAACATTGCCACCTTTTTTCTCATTGCTGAACAAATAGCAGCACAAACAATATGCTTTTTCTTTCTTCACACTGTATTTTAACCAATCGCCATACTGATCAAACCAACTAGGATAAAACCGTCTTGGAGTATTTCCAATAATTCGCTGTTTAAAACTGTGGCCACGAGGTTGACAAGGTTCTCTAGTCAAATACTTGCGTCTTACCTCGTCTCTTTGATTAGGATGATATTCCAGTGTTTCTTTTCTCTCACCAGGATCATACGGCAAGTCATCCATGTCAGTTTCATCTGTTGATGGAGATTTTCTTTTCAGAAACGGATCCATTACTTATCCGGTAAAAAAAAAGTTAGTTAATTTCAAATTATAAAACTAAAAGCTAAAGATAATCCTGGAATAAATTTTTAAACTAATTTTCACCTTTTCGGTATGAGAAAATAAACTTTTAAACTAACTCTCACCTTTTTGGTGTGAGAAAATAAACTTTTAAACTAACTCTCACCTTTTCGGTGTGAGAAAATAAAATTTTAAATTAAGTCTCACATTTTCGGTGTGATAACGTGTTGTGAACAAGTTATCAAGAGAGAGTGAAAATTGATGTGTCTTATTCCGTGAATAATAAGAGATATATATAGTATTACAAATACCTAGTTATCACCATAAATTTCCGATGTGGAACAAATACAATATTTATTATGGGCGTTATAATGGGCATCTATTTAATATTCATAATATTTTTCCTCCTTTTATGTTTTCTAAAATAGAAATAAAATTAATTACTACTATATATAATTGAGTTTGTATTTAAATTGGGCTTAGATATAACATAAATCCACGTTGAGTTAGAAGGTAATGGGGTCAAACAAAATTAACAAATATTTTTCAAAATTAGGTGGGGTCAGCTGACCCCCCTCTCTAAAACGTGGTTCCGCCCCTAGAAGCACCAGCAATACAATCTGCAGTTTTGGAATAGTTAAGTCAGCTATCCAAAAATGTGATGTTTTTTATGAAAATTGGGAAATAATAATATGCAACTTACAAAGAGACTCTTTGGATGTGTTTCATCGTTAACATAAGGTTTTCTGAATGAAAAGAGAATATGATTCATCAGAACCTCAACAGAAAAGGAGTGCAATCATTTTGAGTTTCTCTTTGAACATAACAATGATGCATCCTCCAAAGATTTTTCCATAGCTGTCACTAGCTAGTTCCTTAAACACTCCAACATAGCTCATATCTACATCAATGCTAGTGAGAAATTGAACATCTATATCCAGAGTAAATAATATGATATCCCTTGTCATAAACAATTGTGTATTCTCGCAATGAAAGTTGTCAACCCATTCTGAAATCGATGCAAAAACATTCCAGCAAAACCAATAGAGTTACTCATGAATGCGTGCTTTCTTATGATTGTGTGCAATATATTAGACAACTCTCTACACCTTTTAAGAATATGTGAATGAAATCTTTGGCAAATTGTTCGTTTGCTTCAGTGGAGAAAAAAATATAGCATAACAAAGGTAACTTGAAATGAAAAAGCTAAGAATATATATAGAGATTTTACTTATGCATTGTTATAATACCAAGGTATGATGCTTAAGAGCGAATTGATCATCTTATTAAGACCTTGGTTGCAAATTTCGCCTCTGCACAAGCAACGCACAGTGGCCATAAGAGAGTCAAGTCAACTACAAGCCACACATTTTTGTATAGATATCCAAAAAATAAACCAATGTCTTCTATTTTGTAGACTAATCCCAAGACATTGACATTGGTTGTTCTCTGCCTCTTGTTGTATTGTAAATGTTGCTTTCAAACACTTACTTTTTTTTCTTAATCTTGATTTCGTTGAGTATACCTTTCATGGTGGTGTTTGTTTGTACCAACATAATGTCTCCATTTCGTAAAATCATAAAGAAGAAAATCAATCGAGTAAAATTATAAAAAATGTTTAGCGAGAAGCAACCTCATTCTTTGAATGATGATGTCTTCTACGTATAAATTAAAACAAAACAACTAAAAAAATCTTAAATTATAATGATTCGAATAACAAAATTTACCCGCGAGTAATCTGGATCTAGCTAGATTAAGATCATGTGAAGCATTTGATGTGAAGTCTTGTATTCAACTAATTGGATTTGGGTCGGGTTGTTTGTGTTCATTTACCTCAAACATTTCAGCTTTACTTGTTACCAAACACGAACAAAAATATGCTAACCTCCTGGCAAATGAACTTGGTCATTCCTACAACCATTCATCTTGTAATATCCTCGACAGCATCTTGATTCCCACAGATAAACGATCAATAGAGTGAAAGCTCAAAATTTGTAAAACGGGAACATGTTGAATTTGCATATAGGAGTGGATTAGCCCTTTTCCAAGTTCCATAAAAGCTGCAGAAACATGGTGAAGTTGGTCCATTAGGACCTTCCGACCTTGTACTCTTTCGTACCACCACATAAGTGTTGAAATGTGTACAACAACTAAGCTTATCCATTGGGATGGCTTGTGTCATGCTCTTGTAGAACAAAAAACAAGAAGGAAAATATGGGTCTAGCATGAATTACATATTCATAATTTTCAAGCGGATATACCACAATTGAAAATCTCACTATAATTGGACTGTAAATCCAGGAGAAAGAAGAAACTCTGAACCGTGACCGATTCGATGACATCTATGATTTTAAAGTCCATTCTTGTAACATTCATTCATTAATTAAGAGTTTCGATTTCAAAAATTTCTTCGATAACACAGGAAATGAGACCAGTTGATTATTTTGATCTGTTTCAGCAAATTATATCCGCAACAATATGAAATTGCGTCAACCATAAAATAAAAGGCTTTTTGTATAATAAAAGAGAGAGGGAGAGAGAGAGAGTAATCCCGCCAATTATATGAGCCTCTAATTAAGCTAAAGCTTTAACAGCTTTCTCTGCTGCATCATCCAAATCATCAGCTGTTATGAGCTTCATTCCACTTTCCTTGAGGATTCTCTTTCCCTGTTCAACATTTGTACCTTCTAGACGAACCACCACTGGTACTTTCAGTGACACCTACCGTACATTCGTGTTATCATCAGTCAAGAGAGTTTCAAATTAATATATATATCTGATCTGAGAAATATGGCTTTTAAGTTTCCTCTCACCTCTTTTGCAGCGTTCACGATTCCACTAGCAATCACATCGCATTTCATTATCCCACCGAAAATGTTCACCAAGATTGCTTTCACTTTATCGTCCGATGTCAGTATCTTAAACGCCTCCACCACCTATTATTTGTAACATCCTTCAGTTTAAACAGATTTTTCAATCTTGAGAAAGCTTTGAAGAAAATAGTTTGGTACCTGGTGTTCAGAAGCGTTTCCACCAACGTCAAGGAAATTGGCAGGAGTCCCACCATGCAATTTAATTATGTCCATGGTTGCCATGGCCAATCCGGCACCATTTACCATGCAACCAATCTCTCCATCCAAACCAATATAGTTCAGGTCAACTTTTGCAGCCGCCACCTACGAGATGCAATCACACTCTCTTTTATCAGGCTTGAGAATAGAATCAAAAGTGTAATACAAAGCTAGAGGTTTGAAGAAGAAGAAGAAGAAAATCAAAACCTTTATGCTTTCATTAACCTCAACTAACTGCTACCTTACGTACAGAAGAGTATTTTTTTTTTTGTAAACCAACTAACAGACCAAAAACGACACAACTAACTATAAACTAGTTACTACTCTATCCAACACTCATAATATCCTTTCAACATTTTCTGGAGCTAAACATCCACGAGTGCGACATAACATAGATTTCTCGATGAATAAAGTATGATGCAAGAGACAGAGAATGGACCGGACCTCTCGTGGATCCTCCTGTGTTGGGTCACGAAGGGCGAAAACCTCTTTCTGTCGGAAAGCAGCATTATCATCAAAGTTCAATTTGGCATCAGCAGCTACCAGTTGATTAGTGGACGTCTCAGCGAGGGGGTTGATCTAACAGAGAAATTGAAGGGTTCATCAATAGATATTGGACAGAAAAAAAGAGTGCGAGTAGAAACAAGACACTGAGAGAGAACCCACTTCCAACATTGTGCAGTCACACTTGCGGAAGAGTTCGTATAGCTTCTTCACTTGTTCAATCGAATCTTTTCTGTCAGCAGCTTTGGGAGCCAGACCATCCACAACCTTAGCAGCATCTTCATCAGTAATTCCTGCAAATACATCAATCGGTACCTACAGAAAACCATGGAATAAGAGTCTAAATGAATCACCTACAGCAACGGCAAGATCTCACAAGGATATCAAACAGTCAAAACCTTAATAATCATGTCAGGGAACTTCTCAGCAAGATCTTCAATGCTGGTACCACCCTTTTTACAGGCAATTATCAACTGAAATAGGAAAGGAAAGCGTTACACAGATTGCTGACAAGTGTGAGCAACATCATGCGTAAAAGTAGAGAAATGGATAGCAACATATTATTTGAGTAGCATTACCGGTCCAGCAGATTTACGGTCCAGAATTATGGAAAAGTACATCTCATTGACGAGTGACAATTTCTCACACAAGTAAACCTGCTCAGAATTAAAAATGCAAGCAAAACCATGAATAAAAATACAAATGCTAAAGCAGTCACAAGAGTCATAAGCTTCATGGATAACCGATAACAAACCTTGCTAACTACTTTGCCTTGAGGACCAGTTTGCTTGGTTACGAGTACTTGTCCTAGCATCTTTCCTACAAGTGATAAAAATCTGATTGGATCAATATATTCTGAGAACCAAAAAAAAAAGACTTCAACACTTGAAGAAGGCCATAAACAAAATACCAGCAATATCCTCAGCCTGATCACGGTTGACAATGTGAACACCACCCTTAAGACCACTCTTGAATGTTCCAAGACCTCTTCCACCAGCCAAAATCTGACTCTTAACGACCAACTGTATCACGAAAGGGGTACTCTTCCATGAGGCAAGACTAATAGTGTAAAATACAATAAATTTAAGCGCTCTTAAGTCAGAACAAGTCCCTCACAAAAATCTGTGTAGATGTTACCTCGCTTTCATTAGGGAAAACGTCTTGGATAGCCTTTTTAACTTCATCCAATGAAGAAACAGCGACTCCCTTTGGCACATTAACTCCGTATTTTCCCATCAACTCAGCTCCCTGGCAGTATCAGAAAGAGAATACAATTTTAAGAGGTGAAAAACGAGTGACATTTTCCAAAACCCAGACGATTCGATGAAGACAAGCTCGCCAACGAGTGCTTACATTCGAAACCTAGCTCCTAAGATACTTAATCAATAAACTCAATACGCTGCAATTCTAGCTTCCATCAGTTATCGCTTAATACCGTAAATCAAACCCCAAAACTACAGACAAAGACACAGATCGGACTCAAATTCGCATGTGCACACACTTGAAAAATCGAATCTACGCAACTGTGCAGAATATATAGAATGTTCGAAATCGAAATGAAGAGAAGAACCTGATACTCGTGTATGTTGAGGCGGCGAAGCTGTTGCTGCTGCCATTTTCCGGCGACGGAGAGAGATCTAGACACGAGCTTGTTCACCAATCCCCTCATCCTTCGATTTGTCTTAGGAAAAGCAGCGACGAAAAATCGATCGATCAATAGAAGAGAAAAGAGAGAGAAGAAAGACAGAGAGAGAATAGTCGCAGCGTTGATCGACTCTAGGGTTTTAATATTCTCAAATTACCCTCTTACTTTCCAAACAATCACAAATGATCTTTCTTACAAGAATAATAATAATTTTTTTTCATATAAGTACAATAAACTATAGAGATTTTTCATAGATAATACACTGAAGTATATATTGACACTTCTAAAAAAGTATACAAATTAATATTTTGTTCATATTCATTTTCAAACTCATTACTTTAAACGGTTTAAAATCCCCTTTTCAATGATCAAAACATATAATCAGTGTCATCGTTGTATCAAGATCCAAATTTAACCTCAAATATAAACGTAGACCTCATAAAAAATATTAAATTTAATCTTAGAGATATTAACTTAAATATACTACATACTGTTAAAACAAAAAAACATTTTAAAACCAGGTTGCCAAACATTTATTAAACCTATTATCAAGTTATAAATTACAATTTTATAAATATTTGAGTAAATGAAACTTAAATTGATTCTTATTTCTCATTTAACTTTTTGTTCTTTGGTATTTTAGAGGCCAAAAAAAGAAAGGTTTTTAATGTAAGCTGTGTAGTAGAATGGTATTGAGGTCCAATGATCCTCTGTTTATAACCGGAAAGTATTGTTTCAAAAACTTTAACAACAGAGCAACAAAGGGATATGATGATCAGGTCGATGCTATATGCAAAGATAATGGTGTTGGCTTGTACATATGGGAGTTAGAAATCATTCAATCAAAAGCAAAAAAAGATGTTGTCATTGGAACGTAAGCCCCGTTCAGTTAAGTCCATTAAGAACCCTGTGAATAACTGTCGTGAAACGAACGGCCATGGTATCATTGGCAGAGAGACCACGTAAGCTCCACACACGCGTCTCAGCTGATTGGGACTCTCCACCGCATGATTCTCTCGTTGCCGAGGCCGCATCTCTGCGAAATAGTGGCCCGGGGACTTTCCTGGGTCGGAACTTAGGCAAGCCCATTTGACCCATTCACTTCGTCCAATGACAGTTGTGTTCGTGTATCGTTTTCAAGATTAATATATAGACATTTATCATATCCGAAACCAACGATGTGGGACAATCAAAAGCTAAATAATTTTTTACTAAAATGATTCCACCTTCCTTCACTAAGTTCCCGATGTGGGATAAAAAGTCAACATTTTGCGCTTTTGTTTTTTTATCATTTGACCAGTAAACAATATGGGAATCTTCGCTACGTTTTTCAGTTTATGTGAAATGTATCACAATTGCTTTATGCTTTTGATTTAACATTCTACAGGAGCTGATGTATAAATGTAAAAAAAAAAAAACACAGTTTGTATTCACCTAAACACTAAATCTAGAATCTGCATTCAGATTACATCCCAAAAATTGGAAAAATTCTCTACCGAACTCACATTGCTCTTTATTTTTGTTTCTTAAGCTGAGAATCAGAAAATTTAGTTTAATGAAAGAGAGAAAAAACAAAAAAGCAGAGAGAGAGAGAGAGAGACTAGGCCTGAGGAAGACAGAAATTCTATTCTTCTTACTCTAATAAGTGAAACTCTACAAACTTCACCAAAACACAGTTTTATGATCTACCATCCCGAGAAAGCTTTCCCTTCATTCATCTTTTTCTCGGACGCTTTGATGGTGGGGAATCTGATTCCTCTGAACCATTTTCAGGACTTGTTTCGTCGTCTCCTTGTTCCGGTTTGCCAAAACCCATATTTTGCTTCTCAAACATCATCATCAGGGCCTTTCCCTGTTCTTCTATCCGAAGTTGCATGTTTCTTTGAATCTGAAAGCACATCAAAACAACCCCGTTCTCAACTGTTTGCGACTTCAAGGATTGCCAAGAATACAAAACAGATCACACCGTAAAGCTAAAGACATAGTTGTTCATCGTTGTACCTCGAGCTGCTCATGCAGTTGCTTCTGAACTTCCATCTGAATTCTCAGCGCCTCAGTTATATCTATCCCACTGCAAAACCAACCATGCCAATTTGTTAGACAGAATCTGGTTAGAAAATGGCGTAGCACTTGTGAATTGCGATGCTACCAGACCCCACCGTTTCGTGTCAAGAGATGTAATATGCTCAATCGGTGTCAACTTCGTCTCTGACGAACCTGCTAAATCCATCAGAAATCATAATCTTAAAGTTGAACTTTGTCAAAATCCAACATAAAAGATACGTTTAGATTGTAACAAAAGCTAAACGAGTCCTAGAAAAGGGTTGCTAGTCTATAACATTAGAAAAGAGAAGCACACAAACAATGTCGAGAGCCTTTAAACTACATATCATTATAGATCAACAAGAGCTCATAGAAATTAGCTGACAGGATACAATACTTTCCACATCATAAAAAAGATAGAAGCATCTGAATACTCAAATCATAAAAGGGGGGAGTCAGTATCTACCTTCTGATGGTTCTGGTCTATATGTCCTATATTTCTGAAAAAAATTATATAAAGAAAAATTGTCGGCTTGCATCAACAGACTATTCTGCGGAATTAGCATGAAACAAACGCTAAGGAAGAAAGAAAAAGTAAACCTGCAAATGACTTTTGACATGATATATAGTCAACCCTTCGACTTTCATATGCTTCAGCACACCCTTAGGAGTTGCTTCTGTGTAAAAGAAGACATTGAATCAGCACAAACAGAGCTTCACCATTGTTAAAAACGAGAAGCAGAGAGAGAGAGAGAGAAGAGAAGAGAGAGAGATGCTCACTATTACTGCCGCCAAGCTGGTTAACAGCCTCAACAAAAGCCTCATGAAGTTCTTGTGTCCAACGCATACGTGCCTTAGCTGCTGCATTATTATTACTGTCGTTGTTGTTATTATTGTTTGAGGATACTGTCCTAACAAGAGGTTGCAATTCCACACAAGGAGAAGGCTGCTGCAGAACAACTTGGGGTTGTTGAATCTGCGATTGCATAGTTGGTTTCTGGACCTGAAACAATATCCTTATTATACACGGGTCTAGTGTATTCATGGTTGTAGTTTTCTAACGTTAGCCATAGAAAATGTAAAAACTGATATTTCGAGACAAGATAAACACAAAATTTATATCAAAAGAAATCAATTTAGAGGAGGTTAAAAGAAGAAAACTGAGACAACATTAACAACCTTCGAAGCTGGGGTGGAACTTGTCTCAAGGAGAAGATCGTTCCAGTGAGTAGACATTAGAGGATTCTCATCAGTAATCAATTCGTCATCCAATTCTGGCAAGAAGATTCGTCTGTGAATGTCATCAGATGCCACGATGCCACCATCCTCCATTTGGTTGCTTTGAGTGGACGAATCAAAAGGACAATCAAAGAGATCCGGGATTGAAGCTGGATCCCAATCCAATATCTTAGAGATGAAAGGTACATCACTGCTTCCATTTTGTTTCTCGTGAGACACCATTGGAGTGTTATGGAGATCATTTGAATATATATGACCAACTGCTCCACCATTTTCAGAGAGAAGATGATAAGGCCCTTCCATGAGTTGATTGTGTTCTGAATGGAAGGACATGTCTGCTGCTACTGAAGGGTTTTGTAAAGATGGTCCTGAAGAAGTGCGTGCAAGGTCACTCAGCGAGTCTCCATTGTTTTCCTGGAAAATAAAATCAAAAACATCTATCTGTGTAAGATTCAGACTCTCTGTGATCACAAGACACATAAGAATCTGAATAAGCATCACTCAAGTTCTCAGCTAGTCAAAAACCTTGCTAATATCTGTGAAAGTAGATTTCATCGGTTCTTGAAGATGCCAAAGAGGTGCACGACCAACCAGGTCTTGCATCTGCAACAGGTAAACAGATAGTAAACAATGAATATGTTCATCATGAATCATGATGCAATCGGTTTGAAACAGAGTCTCCTAATTACAGACAGAAACACAGCAGTATCCGTTCAAGCTCTTCACTTTCACAAACAAAATTTAAAACAATTGTAACACCAGAATTAAAAATGTTGTCATCGCAAAAGCAAACACACTATCCAACTAAAATTTCAAAACCTACACTAAACCCAATCGAATCTGAATACACGAATCACCAAATACATAGCCACTTATTCTCTGAAATCAAATTCCAAAATCAAAATTCTCACCTAAAAGCTCATGAAAACACCCGCAAAACCCAGGCGAAGAGAAAATCGAGAAGAAGGCTACAGAAGCAAAAAAGGAATCTTTTCCACCGGTATTGGCGGGTAAATCGGGATCCTTGAACCGGAGATATCGCTCTCTCCCTTGATCCTTTCGCGTTTTTTTTTTGTTGTTGTCATGGTGGGTTTGCTAAAGTCACGCGATGAGAACGGCGCGTGCAACGTCTTCCATGTTGGGCCCACTTGTTTTTCCTATGTGGAATGTTCCGAGTGGTCGAACAAAAGTTGTATGATGGGCTACACATGGGCTTCACCCTTTTTTAATCAGCCCAAATTGTTAATTAAGTACATTACAAATCATTTTTGTTTCTTTCTTAACAAAAGTTTTCATTCAAATCTATTGGGGACCAAAAGCAATCTGAAGCTTGTTGGACTCGTCGGAATCAAAACATCGTGTGTAGTAATGGCCTGAACTATCATCCTAAATATTAATCATCTTTAGGAATTTATATGTGCACCAATTTGTTATTTTGTTTTTTTTTTGGTAAAAGGTTAAAATTTCATACCAAATTTTCAAGATTACATAATAAACGAAGCAAAATTACAAATATATAAAAGCAGAAAAGCGAGACGCCAAAAAGGTTACAAACTATTAGCTGATGGAGCCGAGATTTTGGAAGTAGAGCTCAAGCAAGGAAGGAGCGATCGCCGAGGAAGCTGGGAACGACAAAAGCCTGTCGCGAATCAACCTATCGATAGCCCTTTTAGTGGTAGCTGCAGTGGAGGAGGACCCTCTGAAGATTCTGGCATTACGTTCTTTCCAAACAAGGTAACAGATAACCTGGCAGAGAAGCTTGAAGATGGGCGCTGACGAGGAAGAACGAGCGGTGTGATTGTTACAGAACCATAACGCCGAAGCATGGAAGGATGAAGGCAGATTTGGCCAAAGAGTTCCCCGAAAGAAAGACCATAGTTCCGCAGAAAAAGGGCAATCAAAGAAAAGGTGCTCATGGGATTCCATACCTGCGGAGCACAGAACACAAACACCAGACACATTCAAACCCCATCTTATTAACCTGTCTTTTGTGGGTAGCCGTTTTAACATGATCAGCCTGGCGATAAAAGAGCATCGGGGGACTGCTTCTTTAAACCAAACAAGCTTATGCCAATAAACAATGGTTGACCGCTCCCGAAGTTGCTCCCAGGTTGCTTTGGAAGAGAATGTTGGGAGGTGATTCCCTGCCGCATTACGCCATAGAAAAGAGTCATGACCCCGTGTATCCTGCGGAGCAGAAAGCGTAGAAAGAATTATCTGCAGATTCTGAGATTGATCCGAACGAGCTGGTGGGAAACACCATTCACCAGAGGAGGAAGCTTCAATGACTTTTGCATCTCTGCGGATACGCAGTTGACGAGGTCCAGTGTTACCAAAATAAGTTATTAACGGCCCGAGCTCCGTCCAACAATCAAACCAGAAAGAAGCCTCTTTTCCGTCGCCTAATTCACATTTGAGGAAGTTCGCAAGATGGTGCTTAAGCTGCAGCATACTCCGGATCGTTCGAGAGAACCGGTTAGCATCATCTGTAAGCCAAAAACTCTTCCTCCCAAATATGTGAGACTTGAGCCAGGCAACCCATAACGATCCCGCATTGGAGAACAGATTCCAGACTTGCTTCAATCTGAAAACCATTTGGAAATCCTCTAGAAGCCGAATTCCCAATCCACCTTCAGGTTTAGGTTTACAAATGTCACTCCAAGCAACTCGAGCACCAGAGGCGGAGGTTGTTTTGTTCTTCCATAGAAATTCGGAGCAAAGAGAGTCGATTCGAGCATAGAAACTTTTGGGAAGATTGAACACCGAGCTCCAAAAATTAACCATCCCGTATACAACCGAAGCGATGAGTCTGATTTTTCCTGCGAAGGACAACAGACGAACAGTCCAGTTATGCAGCTTACCAGTTATTCGCTCAATAAAAGGCTGGAGAGTGGCTAGGGAGATTCTTCTGGGATTAAGAGGTAAGCCGAGATATCTTGTTGGGAAAACTCCCATCTTGAATCCAGAAAAACTACTCAGGGCATCCGTCTCAACATCTGAATATCCCCCAAAGAAGATTTCGGTCTTAGTAACATTCATATCCAATCCAGATAGCTTCTTGAATTCAGACATCACATCCTTTATTCCAGTAAGAGAGTGACGAGATCCATCTGAAAAGATGAGCAGGTCATCGGCGAAGAGGAGGTGAGTGATCCTCGGGCTGTCACAAAGAGGGTGAAGCTTTATTTGGTTGTTATCCACTGCGTTCTCCAGCAATTTCGACAAGGCTTCCATAACCATAATGAAAAGATATGGAGAGATACAATCCCCTTGTCTGAGCCCTTTTTTCCCAGAGAAGAAGCCCGCTAGCTCACCATTAACAGCAACCGAAAACCGAGGGGAGGTGATGCATTCCTTAAGCCACGATCTGAACATAGGAGGGAAGTTCTGAGCTTCTAGGATTTTCAACACAAAGTCCCAACAAACTGTATCGAACGCTTTGCGGATGTCGACTTTCAGCATGCAACTTTTCTGACATGAGCTCTTCTCATAGTTCCTGATTAACTCCGATGCCAGAAGAACATTTTCTCCTAAATTCCGACCCTTAAGGAACGCCGCCTGATTAGGACTAATGCACTCTTGCAGGACAGGCTTCAATCTGTTAGCTATAATCTTGGCTATGACCTTGTAGATTGTATTGCAGCAACTGATTGGTCTATAATCTCCGAGACTACATGCTTCCGATTTTTTCGGAATGAGGGCAATTATGGTGTTGTTGAAATCCTTCAACAGCCTCCCATTCCTGAAGAATTCTTTAATAGCGGCCACAACATCGGCTCCAACGGTTACCCACGCAGCTCTAAAGAATTCAACGGAATACCCATCCGGACCTGGACTCTTATTGTTTGGCATTGAGGCAATAGTCAGCCTGATCTCTTCCTCTGTGACCTCTTTCTGTAGATCTGATCTGAGGCTTTCAGAGCATCTGAAAGACATTAATGCTTGAAGTTGATTGACTGTGACCGAAGACAACGACATTTCTGTATTGCCCAGAATCCCCTGAAAATAACGAGCAGAATGACCCTTAATATCCTCGGAGGAATTCAACCTAAGACCATTATCATCGGTGAGATAGTGTATGTGATTTCTTGTAAGCCGCTGAGCCACAGTCCTGTGAAAAAACGGCGTGTTGCGATCTCCCAGATCAAGCCATTTAACACGCGATCGCTTGTGATAAAATTTCTCCTCTGCAGTGATTAATGTTTTCCACTTAGCCCTAACCAGATGTTCCTCTCTTGCAGTTGCTGGGTCAGGGTTAGTGAGAAGAGCTTGCTGCAACGTCTTTAGCTTAAGAGCTTGCTCCTTAACTCGTTCTGTGATACCGCTGAAGTGGCTCTTGTTCAATTCCCTGATTACCGGTTTCAAGCATTGCAGCTTTCTAGAGAGAATAAATTGATCCAACCCAATAATTTCGTCATTCCCCCATGCTTCCGCCACAGCGTCCGAGAAAGAGGGATGATCAATGACATGAGTGAAAAACTTGAAAGGCTTACGAACCTTCCTCTGCGCAGACGGAATGCGGAACAGACAAGCGGCATGATCAGATTGCTGAGGTTCCTGATAATCAGCATAAGAATCAGGAAAGGAGTCTGCCCAAGCCTGATTTATAAGGGCGTGGTCAATCTTCTTAGCAACAGGGCGAACGTCTTGACTGTTCCACCATGAGAAAGGGAGACCTTTAGATTGAGCTTCAAATAAATCAGCCTCTTGCAGGGCGAGATTGAAATCCTCCACACCAGATAAATCCACATCGTCGGAGAGGAAACTAGAATGCTGAGAGGCCCGAAGGATCTGATTAAAATCCCCGACTACAGACCACGGGTATCTCGAGACAGGAGAGGAAGCATTAATGTCTTGTAGCTCCGCCCACAGAGATGCCCTATCCTCCACCTGGTTAAAGCCGTAAACAAAGGTTACTGTTAGACTCAGCCCCCTCTGCTGGAACATAAATCCCACAAGTTACAGCTTGCGCAGAAGCCTTGTAGATAAGAACAGAAATCGACGGATCCCACACAACCACAAGCCTTGCCGTATGATGATACTCAAAGTTCCCAAAATACTTCCACCCAGCTGGAATAGCCCTAATTATTCTTCCAATATTTGATTGATGAATATGCGTCTCGCTAAACGCTCCAAAAAACGGACGATGGATATTAATCCAGTCCTTTACCATAGTGTGGCGTCTATCACAATTCAGTCCACGTACATTCCACGCAAAAAAACTCATAATGATGAGGGATTAGTTTTTCGCAGCCTTGCGACTGCTCTTCTTGGATTGAACCAAAAAGAAGGGAGCTTCGTCGGAGTCATTCTGGACCTCCTGACGCAGCGGTGGATCATGAACTTCGGCTGACAAAATCGATGACTTAGTCAAGCTTGCAGATGGAGCAACACCTGAATCGGTCGGTGACTGAATCGGATGGTGATTTCTGGGATCTGCCGGTGCCACCAACACGACTGCTGCAGGACATGTCCCCAATGTTGATGATAGCGCTAGATTAGCTCCTTGAGACTGGGATTCCAATTTCATAACTTTGGGAACGTAAATCATAGCTGAAGCATGACGCCGCCGCAATCCTCCTACTGAAGCAGAAGTTTCTGAATTCTCCATGTTACTAACTCGATGAGAGGAAGAAGAACCCTTTATTCGCACTTGGATAGGGTGTTCATGGCTTTGATCAATTTCCCCTTCTTCTAATGGAGAATAGATCCCACTTAAGCGATTTGATTTTGCTCTACGAGCCCGCGATCGACCAGGTCTAGATCTCTTTTTGCGCTTTGGTTCTAGACTAGGCGACCTGGTACACTTCCTCCTTCCTGAGGGGTGATGCTGAAGCTGCGAAGTACATTTCATGCTCTCATGCCCAAACAACCCACAACTCTGGCATTTAACCGGCAACCACGGGTAAGAGACAGTAATCAACACTTCACGACCACTTGAGAAACCTGAAACCACCCTCGTAGGCAGTTCCTTCAAAAGATTTACTCGGACGTACACTTTAGCCACCTCAAAGGTTTGCTTTCTCTCTGTTTCTGGGGCTAGCGCGACATGAGTTCCAATTGCTGTAGCGATTCGACCGAGGCTTTCCTTATTGAAAAGCAGATATGGAACATCGCGAAATTCCACTGGAACTACAGCAGATGAGAGAGGTGGCTCTTCTGGGTTGAAATCGGGAGACCACAGCGCAACAAACATGGGGAACCCTGCAATGGTCCACAAATTCCTGCTCAAGATTAGCTCCCTGGTTCGCAGTACTGTAACTCGGAGGAGAAAGGTCCCAGCACTGATATTATGAAGGATGATTCTAGGCCCATTTCTCGCCCAGATAGCGTTGACAACTCCGATGATTCTACCCATGCTGGGGGTGTCACCGTGAAACCGGGCAAATAGGAAGTCTTTGAACTCCTCCTTTGCAGCTTGAATGTTTTCATCCGGAATAAACACAAACGGAACTCCTGAGTCATGCTGCGATGGAGTACCGATTTCTTCAAGCTGGAGGGGATCTTTCAGCAGGCTCGCCCAAGGGCGCTGAGGTGGAGAGTTAGCTCCCTGAGGAGCGGAGGCCTTAACAGCATCAGTAGGGGGCTCGGCGCTGGAGGATGGACCTTCAACAGCTAAGGGAGTAATCTCTACTGGAGCAATCGGCGCAACAAGCTTGTCCGAGTCTGAAACAGCAAACTGCTCAGTTCCCGAGACAGGATTAATTTTCAGATCTAGATCCACTTCCTGCGGAGAAAGGGATTGTTGAATCTGAGATGAGGAAATGGCGTCTGACTCAACATCAACGGGGCCAGGGATATCAGATCTGACATCAGAGGCAATAGTGGAGTCACGGGAGCCCCGCTTCATCTGGACGAACGCAGCAATGGAGGCGATGGAAGCAACACGCGCGAACTTGGAGGTATTGACAATCTTCGGCCTGGCTTTTTTCTTAAGAGGGGGCATTGCGCCCGGCGAGAGGCCGGCCGCCAGAGAGACGAATAGGGAAGGAGAGAATCGCTTTTTTGGTCTCCTGGGTGAAAGCCAGATTGATTTTTTTTTTTTTTTTTTTTTTTTTTTTTTTTTTCTTTTCTTGTTATTTTGTTGTGCTTTCCTTTAGTATCTCTCCTGATTATCTATCTGTGAGAAAGCTCTTCTCCTTTTATCATCAAGTCAATTAACATGACATGAGTTTTCAAGAATGTTGTAGTTGCATTGGTAGTTTCTCAGAATAGTCACTCGTGATAACACTATCTGATATTGAGGTTCTCAAAAGTTTGCAACTTCACAAACATATATTATTGAATAACAATATACATTGTTTTATTTTAAAAAAAAAATCTTGTTAAAACATACATCCGTATTTGTAATTTCACCAAAAAAGTATATTAAAACACAGAGAGAAAAACTAAAATGCTGGGTGGCTGCAAAACCCAAAACCCTACAGATCGAGCTGCTCCGGGTCGAATCAGCGAGTCGGGTCAAAATCCTCGAGAATTCACCTGAGAAAATGTTCGCGAGGCGTCTCACTTCTTTCTTCAAAAAATCCTCAACCTCAAGGTAACCGAGATGTTGATCCAGACTCCAATTTCCCTTGTGACTTCTCAGTTTTGCGTTTCTTGTTAGTTTTGGTTTGACCAAGAATTCCCAATTTCTGCTTTGATCGAGACTAGAATATGCTGTGTCGGGTTTCGGTTTTGCAATTAAAAACCCCGATCGTCTAGCATCTTAATCCCTGTAGGCTCTCTCGATCTCTATCGCGGATTTCAAAATCTCCCTAGTTTCTCTAGTCGAAGAAAGACCCAATTCCCTTTTGGTAGAAAGATCCACACCCATTTGAGACATATCAGAGTTTAGTTTCTACTTTCTAGAGAAGAAACGCGATCCGAATCGAGATTTTGGATACGCATCATAATTTCTGTTAGTTAAATGGGCTGAAGAAATGTTTTTTTTTTTGGAACAGCTCGGACAAAGCCGTGAAAGATGGGACGTTGGGCTCTTTTGGTCGGAAGGCAGTGTCTTTTGTCTTGATTACAGTCACTGGTGGTGTTGCTTTGAGTGCTCTCGATGACCTTTCTATCTACCGTGGATGTAGCAGGTAATCACATCATCATCTTCTTTACCCAAATTGCATTATCTTTCCACTAATGTTTAGCTTTTGCAATGCACATTCTCTCCGTAACTTCACTGATAGATTAATTGTGTCTGATTAATTTTGAGAAGGCTTTATGTTTGAGTATCTGAGTTGAAAGCAAGCGAATGCTTTTGTTGGACAACAGGGTTTAGATGATATTTAAACGTTTAGTTGAGTAAGGATCAAAATTGAAAGACAACAAAAGGAATTGAAGGGCTCATCAATATATCCCAATTTACAAGGATATAGTTTGGTTTCACGTGTGTATTCTTGTTTATCTTGTGCTTGTGTCGCCAATTTACAAGTAATGATACTTCTTCTTCCTGTCATCACGATGAATCAGTTAACAAGTCGTAGTAATTTCCAGAACAATCATCTTTAGGATTTATATGTGCACCAAGTTGTTATTTTGTTGTGTTTTTGTTTCAATTCCTCTCATGAATATCTCTCTGTGCGAAAGTGCTTCTCCTTTTATCATCAAATCAATGACATGACATAACTTTCAAGAATGTTGTAGTTGCATTGGTGAATTTTCAGAACAGTCCTCATATCCTTAATTTTCAGCAAGGCAATGGAGAAGGTGATGAATAGTAAGGCTATGATTGAAGCCATCGGAGAGCCAATTGAGAAAGGGCCATGGTACAACGCATCACTAGCTGTTTCTCAGCAAAGGCACTCAGTGTCTTGTTCGTTTCCTGTGATTGGACCACAAGGCTCCGGAATCTTGCATCTCAAAGCTGTTCGCAATGGAGGTAAACTTCTCAAAACGCACCAGATCTCTCTGAACTTGCATGTGACGATGAGAATATGTGCGTGTTAGGTAGCTGCATATGCCATTTTTCTCACTCATTGGATCCCTGTTTTTTTGCTTTTCTTTTGTTTCTTGGAACAGAAGATAGCTTGTTCGGGTTTCTCCAGCAAAGGGAGTGGGACATTCTGATAATGGACGCACTTGTCCACGTCCCTTCAAACGATGGACCCCAACAAACCTTGAGAATCAACGTCTCTGACTTTGCTGCTCCTTCGGCTGGTACTGACGACTACAAACCAGAAGAGCCAGAGAAGAGCTAAGAAGAGGAAGAAAGACTGCGTACGCAAGCTTCGTGGAGCTCCTGGCTATGTTTTTATACCATTCCATTATTTCTTGTGCCACAAGAATAACAACAATAGCCTTGGATCTTTTATTTGCTGATAATGAACACATCCTTTTTAGGAATATACAAAAAGTTTAACACATGATTGGTGAATAACAATTGCGTTTGGATTTTGGACGCAGACTGACGCATTTTGCTTGGTTCAAAAGTTTATTATAATTCTTTTGTTTCTTATCATTTAGGTTCCGAGGTCTTACAAATTAAAACATAGCACTGATTTCAGCGAAACTTGAAAAGGGCCACTTCTTATTATTAATCTCTGTGGGTTACTGATACAACAAGAATCTCAAACAAACTTATCTCTATGAAAAACTACATTTGACACCAATACAACAAAAAAAAAAAAAAAAATCAATCATATTCGTATAATAAGAACCGAAAACTATATATCTCAGACCGTAAGCAAAAAAAGCAAAAAGTGGGTGGGTTTCTGTCTCTCTTCATTGTGTCTTATCTCTCTGTTCACTCTTCCATGAATTCTTAGCCGCATCTGCGGAGATGGTCGTGCCTCCACTGCCGTCGCTGCTGCTATCTTCTCCGGGCTTCGGTTTCGAGAAGAATGGGTCCCACACGTGGCCCCCAGCTTCCCTTTGGCCTTCCTCCAGCAAGGCATACTTCCAGCTGTTCTCCTCCACGAAGTTGTCATACTCGGTTCGACCCACGATCATGTTCTTCCTTAACCGAGTCACCTTGTCTATTACTGCCTGGACCGAGACATCAAACGCATCCTTGAGCGTCTCCAGCTCTGACCTCGGGTCTGCGTAGATCAGCCCCGGGATGAGGTTTATCACATTCTCTCTCATTACCTTGACCTGCTCGGGTGGAATCTGGAGGAGTCGTTCCTCGATGCTCATGTTTCTCTTCCGAATATCATCCTCGGGGATGAAAACCGAGTAGGTCGTGTAGTTCTTGGGTAGATGCCACGTGTACTGCGTGTAAGCTGATCCCGGGTGGAAGAAGACGGGAATGCAACCTGCAAGCATCGAGTCAAAAGCAGATCTTCGTGTGTAAGAGTCTCCCTGAGGCTGAAGACAGAAGAGAGAGCCTTGAAACATTTGCATAATGCTGCTCGGTGCATGGCATTTGCTTTCCCCAAAATCGCATTCCAATAGTTTCCCAACCTTTGAGCTTCGACACTGATTGATGATCTGCCCTCTGATGGATTTCGGGTTGTCGGGTCTTGGAGCTCCTGCAAACGAGAAAAGCCACTTCCTTTCCAGGTTTCTCATCCGCTCTTGCCACTCAAACACCTCAGAGTCCTTTGCCGGGTGGAAGTAGGTCGGGTAAGGGATCCCGAAATCGTTTGCGTTCCAAGGGCTTGACTCGACCACAAGCATAGACATGTTCTTGGCAGCAGGCAAGAAGAGAAGCTTGTTGCCCCAATCAGTTTCTTCTTCAGACAACCTCCTGAAATCCCACGTTATCCTACCGGCCACAAGGAAATGATCTTTTCCCTTCATTATATCCCACTCAGGCCGCTTCATGAGCCAATCGACCAGCTCGAGCGAAGCAGCATCCCTGGTCGAGATATTGTATCCCCACAGGTACCTAGCGATGTCGAATCCAGCGTAGAAGGGCACGAAAATGGCAGCAGCGAGTGAAGAATCATTCGTCAAGCATTTGTACTGCTTCATACGGTTGCTGAATATGACGTCAACAGCAAACTGGTTAGTGGCGTACCAGCCTTCATCCGAGAAGACACCTTCAACATTCTCTAGCGGCGGGCCAAGGCCAGCGTTTGTGGTGAACTTGCACATGTTGGTCCAGAGACTTAGCTTCTTGCAGTCTCTGAGCATATCCTCATTGAACCTCGAAGGCAGATCGTGAACGTAAATGTACTTCCCTCCACACGGGTCGCTTTTGTTGTCTACTGTCTTCAACGCTCTTATAAACGGAAACTCCTGTTTCTCCACGATTCTAGGAGGCTCGAAAGTGGACGTAGAGTTGGCTACTGGGGCAGGAGGGAGCATTGGTTTATCGACAGTAACTAATCCCTCTTTGGGAGGTTTGGATGGAGATGCTTGGGGCTCGAGAGGGAACTTATCTACCCGAAGAGAGACAGATGATGGCTGAGATTGGGCATAGCTAGGTTGCAATTGGATCTGTTTATCAATGCTACTGCTCCCTATGACAACAAAGTGGAAGTACAACAACAATGCCCAGAAGAAGAGTGATAAAGCCACCAACAAACAGATTCGATTGGTCTGATTCTTCCCATTTCCCTTCTCCGTAGGCTCTGTAGGAGCAACTTCTGCAGAGCGACGCCTCATAGCAACCCTCGGAATCATATAATAGAGTGTACGAGAGATCAAAACATTGATACCATAGACAAAACTCAAAATTCGTAAGTTCCCAGATCCTAAACAGTAAAACCAAGTCCTATCAAAGCGATTCGAAGCTAAATCGAAGCTCAGAAGCAGAAAAAAACTCAAAGTTCTAAAGTTCCCAGATCACAAATAGTAAAACCAAGTCCTAGCAAAGCGTTCGAGGCTAAATCGAAGCTCAGAAGAAGAGAAAACTCCAATCTTCGATCGGGAAGTTTAGTAGAAAACAAGCAGATTTGAGGATGCGGAAGTGTACCGACAAGGATCCGCGAGAGACGGAGCAACGAGGAAGAAGAAAGCTTTTGATCCTTTAAGCAAGGAAAGATCTAGATATGTGTGAAAAGGGATGGTTTTTTTCCTGAGATTGATGGATTTTGACCTGGTTTTGAGTTGGTCTCATCACCGTCATAGGAAGAGAAAGAGAGAGTGTGTCTCTATATGTAATTGAGGGCGCACGTTAGTCGGACAGCTAAATCTGCGCCGGTCAGTTCTTCTTCAAGTTGTCGGTGACCAGTGGGACCTTGCCACGTATGATAATTTTCTGCTGACATGTCGGCTACAAGGGTCGATGACGTCAGTTTTTATAACTCCCTTTTTCGGCCTCTACATCGACTCAACTTCTCGGCCCCGTAAGTCCGTAACGTGTGATCCCGACGAGCGTGTGGGAATGACTCCACGTGTAATGACATGAATGGTTGATTAGTGTACGTTGGAAAGAGCACAAATCACAGAATTTGATGGTAAACTAAACTGATACACGTTGTAACATAATTACTTCAACTTGAAGTTCATGCCCACTAGTTAACTTTCCCCCGCTAATTAATTATTTTGACAATTCTCCACCAATTAGTTTAAATCTTGTGTGTTATTTTATACTCCATCGGGACCAAATAGATAATATTCATCATAATGTCCAACTAAATGATGATAGTAAGCACATAAAAAGTTCTCCAAATACTACATCACATAAATAATTAGTAAAACGAAAGTACTCTAAAATGAAAATGTTTATATATATGTAAGTTAGAATATAATAAGAGACGTTCACTTGCAAGACATTTCACTATTTATTTTTACATGTTACAAGGACTTGTAATAATTTCTTCTTAGCTAGAAATGGTCCTAACAACATTGTGTTTATCCACCAAGTTGGTTAACTAAAACTCTGTATTCGGATTATTTTCATCAAATTAATAAATTGTCTATTTCACCGAAAAAAATATTATTTTGAGCCAATTAAAATCTTGAGTTTTGTTTTTGCATGAGTAGTGTCTAGTTATGGACTTATGGTGGTGTACGTGTTCGTAGAAAAGTTAGATTTCTACAAGTTTATAGCCGATAGATGACTAGATTAAAAACAAAACTGAATCTGCAAAACGTTAAAAGAAAAAAAACTAAAATTGAATAGTTAAAAACTTGAAAAGTAGATTGTTTGTATACATGTCAAGTTTACTTTACACTAGATCTTCAAAAATGGTTGCCATTTGCGTTGGGACTGGTTGTATAAATTTTGAAATGTTTAAGGCGAAGACTTCATTTTGATATCACTCATAGTCAAATCTTTAACCCAAAAAAAAAAAAAAAAATTAATCAATCATACTCATAAATAACAAAAAGAGCACACACAGGAAAAAAAAAAAAAAAAAATTTGAGGGACAAACGTGGCCTGTGGGAGTGGGGAAGAGTTTGTGCTCTCCAAGGTACAACTCACATGGATAGCACCAAGTACTTGCAAGAAACATACTGTAGTTATTTATTTTAATAATTGAAGAGAGTAATGGCCTAGCATTAAGTTTCCAACAACTTTGTCAAAAAAAAAAGTTTTCGACAATGTAAACAAAAGAAAGAAAAAAAAATAACTGTTGATGCATCAATTATTTGTTACAATTGGTGGACATGTAGAGGTGATATGCAAAAGCGGGGATTGAATATTGGCCAGTTGAAAGATTCTCGAATCGATAATAAAAGAAATGAATGAATCCGGTAGCCTCGACACTGTCGTCACGTTTGGCCCACTACACTAGACTACTTCGGAATTACATGATCGGAACAACAATAACCTTTGATACAACGCAGAAAAATGTAAAAAATAATACAACTTTTCAGAATAATCTAAGAATTAGACCTTAGACAAGTGACTATTCGAAGAAACAATTATGGATTGAATGGGAGATCTACGTGGAACCGGTTTTCTGCCGGAACCAAGAGGAGAGTAAGAGAATGAGTCCTAGAAAGATGTTAAAGAGACAGACCAAACATAACCCAACCTTAATCAACCTCATCTCCTTGTCTCTAGATCCATCATCGTCTCGGGTCATTTTAACGTCTTCGATATGGAGATGAACACCGGGATCTCTTAGCTTGACCTTGCTACCCAACATTGCCGAACCGCAAGCCCCTTGAACGTTGCTGTTCACGTAGATGTTGATCCTGCAACCACTTTGACTTGCTATGTCTACATCCCTAGGCGCCACCATCACGGCCCCGACATTTCTCCCGTTCAAGTTGATTCCGCCATTGCCGGATTCAAGCCCTGGATAATCTTCTTCTTCGCCTTCCATTTCTTGGGATTACGCAAAATGAGCTTGTCCTATGCCTTCGGTTACATGATATTGGCTCTATATGCTTTGCTTGGTTCTTGGGGTTTCTTAAAGTCCTTTACTTATCTCCACAGCTAGAAGCAAGGTGCTATATTCTACGATTTTGCATAACTAGATTCGTTGCACACCCTAAACATAAGGGTACCGAAGGCCTTAAAGATCAGTTAATTAGGTATATATCCCTATTATGTTTCATGTAAACGTGTACTTCGAATTTCTCAGGGTGTAACTTCTATTGCATACGGATACAAATTGAAACGTTTTTTTTTTTTTTTTTTGCGCGGGTAAAAACATACAACACCGAGCGAGCTATATGGAATGAAAAGATCAAAGTCCATGGCCTTAGTTATACTCAAGAGCAAAGTAGCACATGTAAGTTTGAAACAAACCAGAAAACTGGATAATTCCTACGGGAACAAATCGCCCAATCGAGAAAGATAACATCTCCTCTCTAACTTATGATCATGTTGATGGGTTATACTTTTTTTCAAGAACACAACAAAGAGGAGAACCATTTTATTATTGACATAGAAGTAAATGAAAGGCATCAACATACCAAATCTAGTTTCTGCGATTTCATTGCGACACTTGCATGGAAAAAATTAGTCCAGGAAATGACCTTTGAGCAGACGCAGCATCAATTGTAGAAGTCTGTTGGTATCTTTTCACTGACAGTAGAACCGAAATTAGGACCACCCTTGCGATATTGGATAAGAAACTCGACCGGATATCCCTTCAACTTATGAGGGACAAGGTCCAAATCCTGAAACGTCAAGGCTGAAATAGCCATTGTCCAATGATAAAGAGTGAGACTCAAACAGGTCCAAGGAAAACAACCCATTTCACTTCTGTGAAGAAATGACTAACCCTTGTCAGATACAAGTGTATCGGTTGTAAGCGCATTAATTTGATCCAGATTGAAGACCTGAGGAGATGGTAGAGGGAACGGGACTTTGTTCACCATGAAATCCCGAGGACCTGCCATTACCTGGAACAAATTGTGACATGAGAAACTATTATCATTTAAAGAAAGAACAAGAATCCTAACAACATAGGGTTCTGTAGTTTAGATTAGTTTCAGATACACTTTGTCTGACAAAGGAGCACATGATAAAAAATACCACAAACAGTGACCGATTTGATCTGTTACCTTAGCAATTGGAAATGGAAGCTTCACATATCGAGGCCGTTCACGAATCATATCAAACATGATCTCTGCCTGCAAGGAACACATGAAAATCAAGCCCACTGAGCTGCCACAGTGACAGAGAGGATGAAGGACCACAAGAATTTACCAAGTCCTGAGCGTTAAAGACATCTGGACCACCCAATTCGTAGGTTTTCCCCATGCTGGAGCCATCATCCTTTAGGGCTGCAACGATTGCAGCAGCAACATCAACCACATATACGGGCTGGAATCTGCGATGACGGTATAGTTAGGGAAAGAAATGGATCTATATTGCAAGTTGCTATGAACCGGTGAAAAGAGTTGCACAAAGATCTAGGACATACTTGGTGGTCCCACCACCTATGAGCGGGAGGAAACCATATTTTTTAACAAACTGTGCCCATGGGTTCAAGATTCTGTCCTCTGTACCAATCATGGTCGCAGGTCTCATGACTGTGGCCTAGGAAACAGATATACATCAGGAACTGACCATAAGCAGCAGGCTGATGATAAAATGCATATGTAAGCCATCCCAGGCACATTGTTGCTTTTAAAAATTTCTGAGATTTTAGAATCTAATAATATCATAAACTGTTTTTCCACTTCTACACAACGTATATATTTGAATATAAGTGAGATCATGACATTAATGAATACAATATTACGATGATAGTTACAGAAGGAAGAGTTCTGTGTGTCGAAAGCTGGTATAAGTTTACCTCAGGCAGCGCGTTCAAGACAGCTTCCTCAGCAGCAGCCTTTGCCCTCTGCATTCTTGAAGGAGATGATACAGAGGCTCCCAGACAAGAAACTTGAATAAATCTCATTATCCCACCATGTTCCTTGGCCACCTGAAACAACAAATCCACCAAGCCCCAACCTAATTAGTCAATAACCAAAAGAGCATGCCATAGCAAATCGTATCATCCTGAAGGTTAAAAGAAAATGTGTAGCTCATTTCAGAAGTACACAACAATCTGAGGAGCACAAAAAGAAATGGAAACTTATTCACCAGAGTTTCCAGAGACAACTCGTCCAAAATTCAAACACATACCAATGCAAGTTTCTCAGCCATATGATGATTCGCCTCTTCAAAACTGAAATTTCTGGTCTCGTACTCTCTTCCTGAGGATTAGAATAAATATCATCCAAAAAGTAAGAAAACAGTGTTGCCTTTTAAAAGTTTTAACTATAATTGTTGGAAAAAATAATATGGGAAAAATAACTACCGATTAGATTGATAACAACATTAGCCTTTGCCATGACAGCCTTAATCGAGTCTTCATCTCTTGGATCAAACTTCATCGGTACAACCTGAAACATAAAGGAAACAAACACACATCGAATTCATCGACGCGAAGCATAAAGATGTGTTTGTTTGTGACATATACTTAGAAGCATTGCGTTAAACAAAAGAACATATTACCTGTCCTAAATCTCCCATCAACTTGAGATGTCGAGGAGAGTCCTCTGAGCCTCGGAAAGGAACAAGCACTTGTGACCCCATTTTAGCTGGAAGAACAGACTCAATTGAACTTCAGAAAGAAATAAGAAACCAACAAATGTAAAGGAGAAACACAATTAATTTATCCGGCTGGGTAACAACAATGTGAAACCTAACTCACCTAGCTGCTGCACAAGATAACGACCCAGAAATCCAGTGGCTCCAAATACTGTAGCTACAATGCCACTGGCAAAGCAAAGGAGAAATTAAGATTTCCATAGACAAGTAAACTTGAAAAATTTGCTGTACTGAAACTATTGCAAACCCCTACGAGATGACACATTTCTCCATAAAGCCAACCAATTATACAGGAGCTATCCTCTAAGCTCAAAAGCAAACAAAGATATACAGACTAGGCTTGCGTTATCCTAACACATATACACACCAATAACATTTCTTCTTCTTCTTCTTATGAGAATTGTCCAGCATTTCTATAGGAACCAAAATCAGAGAAGAGAAATGAGATACCTAACGGAAGATCTCCCACCAGTACCCTTGCGAGCAAGGTGTCCCACGCCCTTAGTGGCGAGGGAAGAAGAGTAGCGACGACTGTCAGTTCCATTAACTGAAGGATCACCATAAAAATCAGCAGAAAACCGAAGATATCTGATTAGCACTGGACTCATAAGCAACCTAGAAATGTGAATCGAAGAAAATCAATCGCAGAAACTTAACGGTGATCTGAGACTCCATAGAGCGATCTGATAGAGGAAGATGAATAGATCGAAGCTCCTCCGGCGAGAGGCCGTTGAACTAATTTCCTGGAAAGTGCCTGCATCCTCGTCCTCAGTTACACGATCGAGCGAGAGAGACAACAAACACAGATGAGAGAGAGAGAGAGAGAGAGAGAGAGAGAGAGAGAGAGAGAGAGAGAGAGAGAGAGAGAGAGAGAGAGAATGGAGGATAGAAGAGAATGGGCCGGGCCAAACATATCTCAAATCCTTACAATGAAACCACGTCGTTTTGGACCCTCTATTACGTAAGCCCTAAATCCAAACTAGCCATTACTCACATTTCCCATCTCGTATTTATCGCGTAACATTTTTAACTGTTTGTTAATTACCCATATAACAACAACGTTTACCCACAACTATAAGGAAACGACATTCATCATAGGGAACAGCAACCTATGAACATTAAACAATAAGAAACCTCATGGGATGTTGATGATGGTCTACAAAACAGAACTGAGCTAATTTGGCTGTGTATCGAATGCTTCTACGACAAGAAAGAAGCAGCTTCTAAAGACTGATTCAGCAGCTTTACAACTAAAAAAACCTAAACTGAACAAAAATGCGTGCGATCGTGAATCTTTAACTCTCCTGTTTGGTCCCGACAACACTGGTTTTCCCAGTGTTCTTGAATCCCTGTAATTTGTTTGTTGTAGTGACAGGATCTTGAGTTATGTGTTTTCTTCTGACAGCTTTCTGATTGATCTGTCTCAGATTTTGCGGCGAGAACAGCACTATCCCGGTGGCTCGGCGAAGAAGCTCGCATTCACTTATGAACTGATCAGAAGTCAGGTATGCCGCTTGATCTCGACGAGTATTCTGTGACCAGTCTAAGGAACATCGATGATTTATCCTCCAAAAGTCGAATTGGTGTGTCGAATTCCGCAACAAGACCTGCAAAATCATCACCAGGATTTCTAGGATGAAGTAAACGGAGAAACATATATATGAGAAAAAAAAATGAAATCCTCTTTTTGTGTGTATGTATGTACCATCGCTTAAAACCAGAACCATGTCACTATCGATCACAGTCGGGATCCGATGCGCAATAGTGCAGACCGTGCAGTCTCCAAACTCGGTCCTTAGAATCTTCTGGATGAGACTATCAGTGGCTGAGTCAACCGAAGCAGTAGCCTCATCAAGCACAAGAATTCTCGCTTGTTTGAGCAGTGCACGCCCCAGAGATACGAGCTGCCTCTGTCCCACGCTCCAGTTATCTCCATTTTCTAACACTGCACCAACAGTTCAAATCAACGAATCAACACAAATTTTTGAAACACTTTTCTGCAGGGTCTGTGACAGATGCATCATTGCAGTATCAGCTATATATACCTGGAGTATCGAGCTTCTGGTCTTTCGCACGAACTATGTCCCCCAGTTGTGACTTATCTAAAGCCTGTAACCCAAAAAAAATAAATAAATAAGAGGAGGATATCCACAAATGGGGGACATAGTTCGTGCGAACGACCGACTGAAACGTTAAGAAGATTAATAAAAGTTCAGTTCTACCTGCCAAACTTCTTGATCAGTGTGTTCTTCGAGAGGGTCAAGGTTACCCCGGATAGTGCCTTCAAACAAGGTGGGGTCTTGGGGAATGATGCTTAGACGGCCACGGAGATCGTGAAGGCCAATGGAGGAGATATCAATACCGTCAATGATTATTTGCCCTGCATATGGCTCGATCATCCGGAATAGTGCTTGTATCAGGGTTGATTTGCCACTTCCTGTGCGCCCCACAATCCCTATCTTCTTGCCACCAGGGAACACACAGTTGATTCCATGAAGAACAGTTGGTAAATTCTCTCCATAGCGAACCTTTAAACAAACAAGGAAGGGATGAATAAAGCTACGTGGAACAGCTTTTAACAGAAGAAACAACTTGATGTACCTTCAAATTGTTTATCTCAATGGTTCCATCCTCTGGCCACGAGGGAGGAGGGTGGGCATCCTCGATGAACGCAGGGGCTTCACTCGGAATTTGACTATACTGATAGATTCTTTCGATGGAGATGATTTTGTTCTCGAGCTTACAGAAGCTAAGTATCCACCGGGAAAGGCGAGCGTTTAAATTAAGGCCATAGGTTACTGCAAGGCCAGCCATGCCTATGCAAAGGTAAATTATGGACTCAGCAAACATGATAGATAGTTATCTAACGTGCGAGAAATGCAGACCATGATCTATAGAAGGAAAAGAGAGAGAGAGAGAGGATGATAGAACTTACTTGGATCGATTGTTCCATGTGGAAAGCTTACGAGCAGGATCATGCAGAAGGCAAAGACGAAAGTAGACAGCAGTTCCATTCGTAAACAAAGCCACTCTATTGCCGCGATGCTGCAGAAGAAAGGGCGGGCAAAGCAGTCTAGTAAATAGAGGTTTCTCTTCATGAAACGCTTTTCTTGGCCAAATCCTCTGATTGTTGCTGCACCCGCGATTGACTCACCAAAAAGATGGATAATCGGAGATTTCTGTATGCTGACAATCCGAACCAGCTCTCTAGACGAAGCCATGTAGTATTTCTGCGTTTTTAAGTGAAAGAAAACCTTGCTGTTAAAGCGTAATGCAAAGAGAAAGAAGTCATAATTTTCGCCTATTAACTTGATTTACCCCTGAAGTTATGAAAACACCATATAAAGAATCTTCAGAAATTAACAGAAATCACCTGCATCCACAAGCAAGCAATGCCGGTTGGAATTACAAGAAGAAACACTTGCCATGTAACGTTTGTCATCACACCAACAATGCCGATGAGCTGTATTGTTGTTGAAGCAAATCCTCCAAGCCTAAAAGGAATATCAAGATCCACGACGCTTTGATCAATGGACACCTGAAAGGTACATAATAGTAATGAGAAATAACATGGCATGAATAGAAGACGTGCATAGTCATAAGTTGATACATTTAAAAAAAGAACCAACCCGATTTAAGATCCTTCCAGCAGGAGTAGAGTCGAAGAACGACATTGGCGCGCGGAAAACACTCCTGAGCATGTTCAGAAACAGCTTCTGGGCTGCTGCAAGGCCGAATGTGGCGACCAGAACAGCTCGGACAAAGATAAATACTGAGCTACCAAATGCTAGCGCAATAAACACAAGGAGAAGGACTGTGGAGCTCACTTTAGCTTGGTCTCCCTCTGTTTGCGGATTTGCCCAGGCCATCCACCAGTTACTTGCAATCTGAAGGAACTGAAACAGCGATTGCGCAATGATTATGAGTGGAATCAACAACCCTTTATAGGCTGCAGCCATATATGACCAGTACACCTTCATACTGACTCGTCCCCGCACACGTTCCTCTTCCTGAACCAGTTGTTTCTTCCTCAGCCGTTTTGCTTTCTTTTTCTCTTTGATGGCTTTCTGGTTAGACCCCGATGGCCCTTCTTGGACCTCTTTGGCCAGAATCTCAATGTTGCTCGAGGAAGCGTTGGATTTTGGATTGTGAGGCAATGACTGGTCTAGCACCTGATTGCTGTCAGAGTCCTCTGATGAATGGCTGGGAATGTCCATTGCTTCAATAGCTTCATGATGAGCAGACACGAGAGATAGGAAATCCGTTCCTGCTTGTAGCAGTTCCTCATACTTCCCTGACTGTATGATTTGGCCATCCCTAAGGACCTGCAGTTTAACAAGAAAGTTCATAAGAAAGCTTTCTTGGTGTTATATAATACTTCTCTCCTTGTCTTAACATGAACACAACTCTTGGTATAAGATTTTAATTAGCAGAAGGCCATGTCGAGGAAGTCCTCACCAATATAAGATCCGTGGCAGGAAGAAACTCGACCTGATGAGTTACAAATATAACAGTCTTGTCAGCCAGAGCCGTCAATATGTATTCCTGTAGATAGCAAAAGAAGGGTAAAGCTTGTGATGCAAGGAGACATACATACAAGCAGTGTTTGACAAAAATAGTTGTTTGGTTATTTGAAGAAACGAAAAAGTGCACCTTAAAGAGTTCGGAGCCAGTGTGAGCATCAACGGCGCTAAAAGGGTCGTCGAGAAGATATACATCAGCATCCTGGTAAAGCGCTCTTGCGAGCTGAACTCTCTGCTTCTGACCACCGCTGAGGTTTATACCTCTGTCACCGATAATGGTCTGATCACCATGTGAGAAAAGCTCCAAGTCTCGTTTCAGAGAACAAGCGTGTATAACGTTCTTGTACTTAGCCTTATCCATTGGACTGCCAAAGAGAATATTTTCTTCCATATTCCCAGACTGAATCCATGCGGACTGTGAAACATAAGCAGCACTACCGCATATTCTGACCTGTGTATTAATTTCAGTGTACAACTCGTGAAATTTGCTGAGAGGAAAGAAAGTATTAGGCCTGAAAAATTGAAGACAGACGCATGTTTTAAAGTTGTTCAAGTGTTTCACTTACTTCACCCGAGATTTTAGGGATTTCTCCAAGTATACAAGAAAGAAAACTTGATTTCCCGGAACCAACGACTCCGCAGACAGCTACTCGCATTCCTCTCTTAACTTTCAAATGAATCCCAAACAAAGTTGGCCTTACCCACGAAGGATCCCAAGAGAAACAACCGTCTTTGATCTCCACAGATGTGTCTGACATACCTTGAGAAATAGTTATCGTAGCATCTTCCTGCAGCTCTTCCTCTTGCAAGAAACCCGATATTCGATCTAGAGATACTTTAGTCTGAGCCATCATAGACACCAGATCAGGAAAATTCCTTAGCGGCTCCTGAAGAATCCTGAATGTTGCAAGCGCGGAGAGAACACCTCCTGCCGTGAGCTGAGTTCCTAAGCCTATAGCCGTAGCAAACGTGATTGCAGCTACAAATATCGGCGAACTCCAGAATATAAAAGTGATAAACGCTTGGGAGTATAAAGCCTTTCGAAGCCATTTAAACTCTGTACTCCTCATTCCCTCAAGAACAACTCGGTACCTATCCTCCCAAGCCTGCAATTTCAGAATCCTCATGTTCCTCAAACACTCGGATGTCTTCCTCATCCGCTCATCTTTAGCAGACATCAATTTGTCCTGATAGTCCTCTTGAATTTTCGCCAGTGGGATAGTGGCGATAATAGAGAACACTGTAGCCACCAACGTGGCTAGAGCCGCCACTCCCACACTCCTGTACAAAATCCCGAGAGCAAGTACAATCTGTAGAGGAAGCATCCACATATCATG